CCCTCTTTCCTCCCTTCCTTCCTCCCTCCCTTCCTTCCTCCCTCCCCTCTTTCCTCCTTCCTTCCTCCCTCCCTCCCTCCCTCCCTTCCTTCCTCCCTCCCCTCTTTCCTCCTTCCTTCTTTCCTCCCTCCCTCCCTCTCTTCCTTCCTCATCATCCTAAGGGCTGAGGGGACAGGCTGAGCCACCAAGCCCAGGTTAATTGACAGCCCCAGTGGTAGAGAGTTCTAGCAGGAGTAAGGCACTCATCCCTAGCACAGAAAGAAGGGGAGTGGGGGGAGAGGGAAGGAGATAGAGGGAGACACGGGGTATGATTAACTGAGAAGGGGCCTTAAAATTTATATGGAACCACAGAGAACCAAAAAGAGCCCAACATGATTTTGAGAACGCGAGGCAAAGTTGGAGGAGGCGTGCCACCCGATTTTAAAAAGTCACTGCAGCCGGTGGTGGTGGTGGTGGCGCACGCCTTTAATCCCGTAGTACAAGCAAGCCTCAGTCCCAGCATTTGGGAGGAGGCAGAGGCAGAGGGATGGTCAGGGTTAGGACAGACCCAGAGCAATAGGCTCAGTGCAGTACCGATTAACATGAGAACAAAGAGAGGTTTTGGTTTTTGTGTTTTTGTTTTTGTTCTTTTGAGACAGGGTTTCTCCCTGAAACAGTCCTGGCTGTCCTGGCACTCACTCTATAGACCAGGCTGGCCTCAAACTCACAGAGATCCTCCTGCCTCTGCTGGCTTCCCAGAGTGCTAAGGCTACAGGCGTGCGCCACCACCGTCCGGCTCGTACCTGTACGTTTATGGTCAAAGGATTTTGATTTAAAAAAATGCTAGGACAGTTCGTGGGGTGGGGGGGGGGCGGGGGCGGGGCGGGGATAAACATTTAGTTAATGCAACTGAAGCAATCAGATTCTCATTAGATTCTGGCAGCCAGGAGAGGTCCTGGTTCTGGAGGACTCTCTGACATCTGGGTACAAAGATGACTCAGTAATGGAGTCCGAAGGTCTGAGCTATTTCTAGAACAGGTGGGATTTTTTTTTTTTTTTGGTTCTTTTAAGACAAGGTCTCGGCTGGGTGGTGGTGACGCACGCCCGTAATCCCAGCACTCGGGAGGCAGAGGCAGGTGGATCTCTGTGAGTTCCAGGCCAGCCTGGTCTACACAGTGAGTTCCAGGGCATCTGGGACCGTTATACAGAGAAACCCTGTCTTGAAAAAACCAAACAAGACAAGACAAGGTCTCTGGCATCCCAGCCTTACAGGTGCCTTGTCTACGGTGCAATGGTCCCACGTGACAATGGCCCCTTTGCCTCAAGTTCGAAAGGATTACTTTGCTTTGGGGAAGAAGTGTTTCCCATAAATTGACGTGTTGAAAGCTTGTTCTTCAAGCCGTGCTCGGAAGTGGGGATTTGAAGAAATGACTGGATCAAGAGGGTCTCTGACGGCCAGGCGCTGGTGGCACACGCCTTTAATCCCAGCACTCGGGAGGCAGAGGCAGGCGGATCTCTGTGAGTTCGAGACCAGCCTGGACTACCAAGCGAGTTCCAGGACAGCCTCCAAAGCCACAGAGAAACCTTGTCTCAAAAAAACAAAAAAAAACAAACAAAAAAAAAAGAGGGTCTCTGATGTCATCAACATTAACCCACAGGTAGGGAGATAATGTGACGGCATTATGGGGACCTTAGGAGGTGGGCCTGGTTAGAGAAAGATACGATCTTGTGCCCTGTCCTTCCTGTCACTCTACTGCCCAGCTGCCATGGGCACAAGATCCTGACACAGGACAGTCTTCCTTAGGACCCAGCTGACCGCAGCCTCTCTTTTTCCAATGTTGTTCTGCTTTGGTTTTGGTTTGGTTTCTTGAGACAGTGTTTTGCCGTGTAGCCCTGGCTGTCCTGGAACTCGCTCTGTAGACCAAGCTGGCCTCAACTCACAGAGATCCTCCTGCCTCAGCTTCCAGGGTGCTGATTAAAGTCGTGGGCCACCACCACCTGGCTAAATTCAGCCTCTTTGAAGTTGAGTTTTTTCCTTCTTCCCTCCTCCTCCTCCTCCAGATATTTGTCATGGCAGTGAAATGTCCAATGCAAAAATAAAAGGGAACTTCACACTGTGATCCATGCGTCCCTATTTGTTTTTGTGTGATGCTGGGGACAGCACGCCAGCGGTCTACAATTGGACCACATCGGCTCTTCATTTCTGGTTTAGAGCAAGTTCATTTCCTTCCATACCTTTTAGTAAAACTGTCCCTCTGAGGACAGACTCCACCATGCCCCCCTATGCCTCCCACATGCTTCGGAGACCATATCAGGACAGCTTCACCAACTCCGGCAAGCTGTCTACTCTTCCAGTTTGTCCTGCCAGAACTGTTCCTCCATCCGACTCTGCTGGAGATTCAGGCATGGTGGCTGGGGTGGGGGTTGGGGGGTGGGGAGTGCCACCCTGTGCCCCATATAGACTAGATACGCCCTTGGATAAGGCATCGGCTATGTCCCCCATGTGGCAAGGAGTCAGGTCCAGGATCCGGAATCAGTCTGAAGGCCAAGGGGACTCAGGTAACCCACTGCACAGCTGCGCTTGAACCCTTAGGAACTGACCTGAGCAGTCATTAACCTGGCTACAGCCAGGGCAACCCCAGCCTGACCCTTGGGCCTAGGCCACCGCAAAGTGACCTGAAGGCCAGTGACTTAATTTGCTTGGATGCCATTGCATTATTTTTTTTCCCACCGGTTAACTGGTTGCCAATATTTACAAGTTTAGTGATCCTAAGATTTTAAAACCCTAGCCTGGTGGTACAAGGCCTAAAATCCTGCATGGGGCCAGCCAGGACTACAAAGTAAGACTCTTTTTCTCGACAAAAACACAACGAGACAAGACAGGGCCGGGGCTGTATCCCCAGTTGGCAGAGTGCTTACTCACACATGAAACCTGCGTGTGACAGCAAACACCTGAATCCCAGCTCTTGGGAGGCAAAGGCAGGAGGGTCACTATAATTTCAAGGTCCAACCTAGCCTACAGAGTGATTTCCAGGCCAGCCAAGGCTACACAGCAAGACCTGTCTTAAAAAAAGAAAAAAAAAGGAAGGGAGAAAAAAAAGAGAAGAAAGGGAGGCCTGGCCTGGGTGTTGTGATACGTGTCTGTAATAGCATTGCTAAGGAGGCTGAGCAGAGATCTCCCAACTTCCGGGCTAGCCTGGGCTATATGCTGCATACTCCCCCTCCCCCACCAGACCCACAGCTCCCAGCCCCTTCCCTCGCCAGCACGTACACTGGCAGTAGTCTCAGAGTGAGGCTCTCCTGGTTTAGTCTAACTAGCGGTGGAAAGCCCTCTGGAGGTTTAACCGGAATGGTTAAACAGCCTGTTCTCTGACCGAGGAACTAGCTAATCAAATCCAAACAGCCTGGCAACGTGCTTTAATCTCTCCGTCTCCTAAATTCTATTTGGTTTCTGCGTCACCTTCCTCAAGGAAGGGACAGGACGTAGGAGGACAGTGTTACCGCCAGTGCCCAGCCTGGAGCGGCGCTTCCAAGTGCCAGTTACCTCTCACCAAGCTCCAGGAAGCTCACCGACTCCTGGCTGACCCAGGGGATGGGAGAACCTTAAGGGACGTGAAACACCCCCAGTCACACGGCACCTACCCATGGTGGCCCGTGCAGTTAAAGGCAGAGACACTCAGCAGGGCGTTGGTGGCGCACGCCTTTAACCCCAGCACTCCGGAGGCAGAGGCAGGCGGATCTCTGTGAGTTCGAGGCCAGCCTGGTCTACAAGAGCGAGTTCCAGGACAGCCTCCAAGACAATACAGAGAAATCCTGTCTCGAAAAACAAAAACAAACAAACAAACAAACAAAGGCGGAGACACTCATCTCCAAGCCCGCACTGGCTGGGATGTCTTCCCAAAGGCCCTCTTGCTCACACGGTAACTATCCTCATCTAGGAAGCTTAGTGGGACACCTAGCAATCTGAGGTTAGGACAGCCAGGCCCAACGTATGACAGTAATTACCTGCTGCTAGTAGTGGCAGCCAGGGACACTGTGGGGCCAGAGTAAAACTTGGCCTGATGCCCTCCTTGATTTCAGGAAGCTTTGGTGTCAGTGCGTTGAGTCAGATTAATAAATACCTCAGGGTTTCCACTAACAACAGTCTTTAAGTGGGGGTGTGTTGAATCAGATTAATAAATACCTCAGGGTTTCCTCTAGGGACAGTCTCTAATCGGGGGTGTTTAACTTATCAGTCTCTGGGAGAATCATTTACAAACCTGCTCCACCCTTCACCTCTCAGCTGTATAACCGCCAGCCTGACCATTTGATAGAGCCTGGCCTGGGCCTCCAAGGGGCTGTTCTGTTAACAGAGCAAGGCAGGCCCTAGTGGCTGCTATAAAAACTCCAAAGCAGGGAGGGGGGGGGCACTGGAAAGATGCTCAGCAGTTAAGAGCACTGGCTGCTCTTGCAGAGAGGACCCAGGTTCAATTCCCAGCCCTGGCAATGGTGGCTCACAACCACCTTCGATTCCACTTCCGGGGGGATCTGCAATACCGTCTTCTGGCCTCCGTGGACACCCAAGTATTACATGGTGTTCACACGTACGTAATAAAATCAAACAAATCCTAAAATACACACACACACACACACACACACACACACACACACACACACGGCTGTGATTGCGCTTTCTGTCACGATTCTCCACAAACACAGAGTAGACAAAACATCTCCGTCTCTAACATGGCCAAGCTCTAGGCAAGGAAAGGACCCGTGTGTCTGAATGTCCCCGGAGGAGAAGGAATCTCAAAGCAGAGGAGCAAGATCCCAGCCGAGGGTGTGGGCTCTGCGTGTCCCATCACACAGACACGCCCTCGGGAGAGCCAGGCCCCTGGACCAGGCAGCAGAGCCAGAGGTACCTACTTGAGAAGGTTCTCGGCTCCTGTCCGCATCCGCACGGCCTTCAGGATCTGCTGGTTCAGGACCACCCTCTGGTTCTGCAGCTTGCTCCGGCCGGTTTGTGCAAGGGGATTACAACCCTGATTGGAAAATAAGAGACAGTCCTCAGGAGATCAGTCACACCTAAAATGATGATATTCTGTAGAACGGGGGGGGGGGATGTCTAACCAATCCATAGAGGCTCACCACGACCGCTCAGACAGAAGCTGAACAGAGCTGGGCGTTGGTGGCGCACGCCTTTAATCCCAGCACTCGGGAGGCAGAGGCAGGCGGATCTCTGTGAGTTCGAGGCTGGGCTGGACCGACAGCCTCCAAAACAATACAGAGAAACCCTGTCTCATAAAACCAAAAAACAAACAAACAGACATAAGCTGAACAGGGAAGGCGCCAGCGGGCATGCTAACACAGGCAGGGAAATGCCCGCGCGCATGGCCTCAGCCCTACACGAGGAACCACAGCCAGCCGAGGAAAGCTGGGGGTGAACGGGAGAGTCTCCCCAAGGAAGCGCACACTAGTTTGTGCCTAGACTACCAAAGGGCCAGCACGGAAAACATACACACCGGCAGCATACGAACGGAACGGGGTACATTTAGGAATACATATGTGTGCACATATATGTAGGTGCATGCAAAAGCAATTGGTGAAAATATGGTCATGAATTCGAAAGCAAGTAGGGAGGGGCATGGGGAAGGCTTAGAGGAAAGAAAGAGGGAGAAATACGGCAAAGACCATCTCAAAAGAATGTTATGACAACGTGGAGAATATATAAAATAAGAAAAGGCACTAAAAAAGAAAAAAACCACAATAACACAGCCCCAAAACTGGACGTTGGTGGCCCACGCTTTTAATCCCAGCACTCAGGAGGCACAGGCGGGTGGATCTCTGTGAGTTCGAGGCCAGCCTGATCTACAGAGCAAGTTCCAGGACAGCCAGTGCTGTTACACAGAGAAACCCTGAGACACAAAACAAAACTGAAAACTACAAAAAGCAGACACTGAGCCGGGCGTTGGTGGCGCACGCCTTTAATCCCAGCACTCGGGAGGCAGAGGCAGGCGGATCTCTGTGAGTTCGAGACCAGCCTGGACTACCAAGCGAGTTCCAGGACAGCCTCCAAAGCCACAGAGAAACCCTGTCTCAACAAAAAAACCAAAAAAAAAAGAAAAAAAAAAGCAGACACTGTGAGTTGTTCTCACTACCCTCTTCCCCTAGTATTAAAAATGCACCAACATGTATGTAGCAACCCCATTTAAACCAGCCCACTGGGAGCGCATTACAAAGGTACCCACTGCCCAGGCACAGGCTGAATCTCCAAAATCCAGGAGGGGAGCAAGCGGGGATGATGGCCCAGGGTCTGTACTCTCCATCACAAACTGAGATGATGGCCCAGGGTCTGCACTCTCCATCACAAACTGAGATGATGGCCCAGGGTCTGCACTCTCCATCAGAGCACAGTGCACCAACCTTATCAATCAACAGATGGTGGGAACACTCTAAGAGCTGGGCTCCCAGACAATAGCCAGGGCCTCCCTAAAAGCCACCTGGGGCCTGCCATGTGACCCTCTCAGGCAGTGGTACTCTCACTGTGCGCTCAAGAATTTCCCTTTAGGGGCCCTAGAGATAGTGGTTAAAAGCATGTACTGCTGTTACAAGGGACCTGAGACCTGAGTTCAATTCACAGCACCCATGTTGGACTCACTGTCACCTCTTAACTCCAGCTTTAGGGTGGGAGGGGAATATTCAGCGCCCTCTTCTGGCCTCTATGGGCACTGCACTCATGTGCACATACCCCCCACATATGCCCACACCCACATACATGTGTGTGTATATATATATATGTATATATATTTAAAATAAAAAATAAGGGAATAAAATATCCTTTTAGAATACAGTGTTCCTTAAAGACAGGAGCAAGCTACAGTGACGCACATCTATATAATCTCCAGAAACCTGGGCAGGAGGATTGCTACAAGTACCAGGCCAGCCTGGGTTACAGAGCAAGAGACCCTGTCTCAAAAATAAAAACAACAACAAATAAAATTGTATAAAAATTCAAAACAAGCTGGGTGGGTGTCACACCCCTTTAATCCCATCACTTGGGAGTTATAGGCAGTCTGATCTCTGTGAGGTCAAGGCCAGTGTGATCTACACAACTAGTTCTAGGACAGCTAGGACTGTTACAAAGAGAACTTATCTCAAAACCCAATAATAGTAGTTATATAAAAATAAAATAAAAATGATCTAATGACACTAAGGTATGAACTGGGCAGCGCTGGCACATGCCTTTAATCCCAACACTTGGGAGGCAGAGGCAGGCCGATCTCTGGGTTGGAGGCCAGCCTGGTCTACAGAGTGAGTTCTATGATAGCCAGGGCTACACAATGAAACTCTGTCTCAAAAACAACAAAAAAAAAAAAACCACAAACAAAAAAACCTGACTAGGATGCTAAGGCGTAACATAAAGGCAGGAGAGATTACACTGTATCTGAGATCCCAGAGAAGTAAGATTTCAGTTGCTCTCACCACAAAAATAAAGCAAGACAAACAAACAGTACATAGTTACACGTGTGTACTTCCCTATCTGATGGCATCAAGTCACAGAGCTGAACCGCAGACAATGTGATTGTTTTTAAGTCCTGGTGGAACACACCTACAATCTTAGCACAGCTGAGGCAGGAGGGTCGTGAGTGCAGAACCTGGGTGTGGCGGTGAAAACCTATCAGCAAAACAAGACAAAAGCACCATCCACGCAACCCCCCCAGAAAGCCTCCAGGACCCGGAGACAGCCCTCCAAGGAGGAGTGCATGCTCAGCTTGCTGGAGGCCCTGGGTCAGTCCAGTTCAGTCCCCAGCCGAGTAAATAAAAGAGTCAGTGTTTTTATTTGTTCTTTAACATCTTCACAGCAACGCGCGGATGGATGGCCACCGCCTATTTCTGATTCTGGGGCATTTTAGCATCTCAGAAAGAAAATGAGCCTCCACTAATCACCATTCTTCACCCCTGAGCCCTGCCAGCTCTGTTTCTGGTACAGACTCGCTCCTTCTGGATATTTCACGTAAACAGACTTATCCAGCGTGCAGGCCTTCTGTGTCCGGCTCCTTTCACACAGTGGGCACGCGGGCGTGTGCTTCTGGAGGCCGGGGGACTTAGGTGTCATCCGTCTTTGTGTTGATACAGTCTCTCCTTGGCCTGGCTTGGAATTCACTGTGTAGGCCGGGCTGGCTGGTTAGAGGCAGGGGTATCCACAGTTTCCAACACAGTGATGTTCACAAGTGTGCGTTCTATCTGGCTTCTTCCCCTTCACAGGGGCTTCTGGTGATCGAACTCAAGTCCTACAAGCACCGTGCCAACTAGCTTCCTCTCCTCCCCCCCTCCTCCTCTCCCCCCTCCCCCGGCCCCATGATTATCTCGTCCGTCCCCCCCCATGATATCTCGTTTGTCTCATTGCTGTTTGAAAGGGTCTCATCGTCTAGCCCAGGCTACCCTTAATCTGTGCGCCCCTGCCTCAGCTTCCTACATTCTGGGCTGGCTTACGGCCCGCTGCCGCCACACCTGGCTAGCACGCTGTTTTCAAAGTTCACCCCGGTCACAGCCTGCACCAGCTTGCTCTTTCGCCCGTTAGATAAGCATACAACGTTTGTTCTGTTTAACCATTCACCAGTGGCTGGACACTTCGAAGTGTTCTCATTGCTTGCTGTCACAAATAAGGCTAGAGGCCCAGTACAATGTCCCACACCTAAAATCTCAGTACTCGGGACTCGAGAACATGAGGTCAGGAATGGAAGGCCAGTCTTAACAACAAGTTCAAGACCAGCCTGGGCCGAGAGCGACCCTGAATCAAAAAAAAATTAAAGATTTATTTATTCATTATGCATACAGTATTCAGCCTGCATGTATGTCTGCAGGCCAGAAGAGAGCACCAGGTCTCTTTACAGATGGTTGTGAGCCACCATGTGGTTGCTGGGAACTGAACTCAGGACCTCTGGAAGAGCAGTCCCACAAATTTTTTTTGTTTTGTTTTGGTTTTTTGGTTTTACGAGACAGGGTTTCTCTGTATTGTTTTGGAGGCTGTCGGTCCAGCCCGGCCTCGAACTCACAGAAATTTTTTTTAATTAAAATAAAATAAGGAAGAAGAGGAGAACCCTTGAGAAAGGAAACTAACTCATTTCTGACCCTTTAGTTCAACTGATCAGGGCAAGTGCCCCAGAGTGCAGATAACCTGTTTTTCTTTCCCTAGGGTTCACACAGTGTGAGTGTGTGTGTGTGTGTGTGTGTGTGTGTGTGTGTGTGTGTGTGTTCCATGCTTTTAATCCCAGCAAAGGCAAAGGCAAGCAGATCTCTGTGAGTTCAAGGCCAGCCTGTTCTACAAGGACAGCCAGGGCTGTTACACAGAGAAACTGTCTTGAAAGCAAAAAATAAACCAAAAAGAACAACTAAAGTCTCAGTTCCTACACAAGTTGTTCTTTGAACAGGCATTGCTGACTTTCTTTTTTTTCTACAAACCTAGGGGCTATGTGGATAATTCTGTTTAGCCATTTGAGCCATTCGAGATAATCAGATAATTTGTCAATTTCTATTTCATATTCCCATTAGCAAGCATTCCATAACTAAGCCATGCTCTGGGGTCCTCACCGGTAGACGCCAGCCAAGTTCTCCACCACTGAGCCACGCCCCTAAGCTCTTCACCGACAGCCTCTGGCAAGGCCTCCATTTCTGACCGGCTATGGCCACAGGTCTACTTTCGTTTGTTTGTTTTTTTGTTCTTAATGACAGCCACCAGTCTCAGTTGGGTTTCTATTGCTGTGATAAAACACCATGACCAAAAGCCAGCTTGGGAAGAGCTCTGCCTGGTCACACTCCCCTTTGTCACTCCCTGAGTCAGTCAGGGCAGGGGACTCAAGCGAGAACCTGGAAGCAGGGAAACTGGAGAGCAGAACCCGGAGCAGAAGCCCACTGCTGGCCGCTTACTGGCTTGCCTCCCCCCCCCACCCCCCCCACCCCCGCTCTCTGCTACCATCCAGGACCACCAGGACCACCAGCCCAGGGGTGGCACACCTCACAGTGGGCAGGGTCCTCCCTCGCC